ATATTTTCGGAAAAAAATCCCTGAATGCCTTACCTACCTTTGTGGGAAATTAGGGGGCCGGCATTTTGGGCGAAACACATGGAACAAAACAAAGGGTAGTAGATGACTATACATGGAGGAGAATATTACCGACAAAGACAAGGGAGACCTGAATGGTCGCTTCTAGCTTATTATCCGTAATCAGCCAGTCTTACCCAATCCCAGGTGATGTTTGGCACCCAAGGCTTGAACCCACGACATGTAAAAAAACCACCTATCAGTGGTGCATGTCTGCAGATGACGACGCAGGGCTCTGTATGCCGACACCAACTCGATTCATCGATTGATTGAGTTCCCGTCCGTGGACCAGGCTTCAATCAATTCTCGGCTCCGCGACCAATTTAGGCGGAATGGATATCCGAAGACGTTTATATAACCACGCCTACGCGTTCGGACCCAGAGGACCCAAACGGAAGAATCACCGAGGATTTGGAACGCTTTGCATTACATCAAGGGCGTCTCAGAAGCAACTGAGCGCGTTGCTGCGGAACGAGGTGTTGAAATCGTAAAGCGGCCTGAGGATATTATGCACAGCAAGCTGAGAAAAATCAAAGACCGGCTTAATTCCAATGAACAATCAGGTCTAGTGTACGCATCCCATGCCTAAGCTGTCTTTGAAACTATACAGGCCAAACTGAACGCATGCTCGGATAGCGCATACATGAACATAAATTGGCTGTAAGACGAGGCGAAGAATTACCGCAAGCTCCAGCTCATCCCTATGAAACAGGCCATGGGCTCAATTTCGCAGACGTCAAGGTATTCGCCTCCATGAGAAATAAGACCAAGTGAGAATTGATTGAAGCCTGGTCCACGGACGGAAACTCAGCCAATCGATGTACCGAATTGGCGCCGGCGCACAGAGCCCAGTGCAATCACGTTCAGTAGCGTCCAGACTTCCGTCACTGAGAGTTAATGAGTACACACTATATAATCGTTCCCATCATACCTAAGGGCCTGACTACCTCTGATAATTGATTGGTGTATACCCACTATAATTACCCACTTTTTGTTGATGTTTCTTATCTCTAAAGATAGATTGTTGTAAGTGTTTGAAAGCACGGGTCAATAAACCAAATGGTCCGGTGCTCGACAGATCTTCTTCCTTATCCACGCTAGGAGTTAGTTAAATAGACTCCTGTCTTTGAGAAGCAGGTTCGATCTGAATCGGAGTTTCATTTGTTTGAGCTTTCGAACTCTTGCGGGAGTCCATCGTCAGAGATAAAACCGTCAA